AGTTTTTTTGCCCCCGATGTCACCTTGATTGCCGAGCCCTAATTAGAGCCGCAGGATAAGCCCCGCGCTCCGTCTGTTTAGCGGCGTTTAAGCACCTTTGGCGGCGTTGCGTTTCGCAAATGCCATTTTTTTAGTGGTGGGGTTTTTTTATTATTATTAATGAATTTTTTTTTAAATTACTTTTATTAATTTGGAGGGGTTTTCCATGCGAAAAACAACTTTGATTTGGTGTTTTTGTTTCGTTGGCTGGTTTGGGTTTTTTTGTTTGGTTATTTTTTTGTGGGTTGGTTGGTTTGTTGATTTTTTTTAATTATTATTTTTAAGATTCTAATTCTAGGCTGAAAGTACAAGGTGAGATTTTTTGTTGAAAGACGATCTAGAGACGTGTCTCTTCAAGCCAGCACTTAATAAAAAAAAAAAAAAAAAATTGAAAAAAACCCCTCATCTTTTAAGGACCTAAAGCTGCCCACATCCTCCCTGCTCATCCTCCCGCCGGCATTAAAGGTGGTAATAATTAGAAAAGACAGCTTTAACCAGCTGATCTTTTAATGGTGTGATGCGGTGATGGACAGGGCTAGGGGAAAAGATTGCTCTCCCCTCCGTAGCTCTCGGTTAGGGAGCAGCTCCAAGCGCTTTGGGATGTGTCAGGCTTTTATTACTTTTTATTATGGACGCTTGAAAAAAAAAAAAAAAAAAGCCTATTCTTCTGGCTACAGAACAGCTGTGGCAGCAGAAAAGCGTTGCTGGAAATGCTTCTGTGTGAAAATGTGGATGGTCTGAAAGGAAAGCCAATTTTCTGGCGTTTCAAGGAATGCTGTAATAATTGTACTTGAGGAAAATTGCAAATGTATACTTCCCGTTTTATTGAAGAGGTTATAATTGAAAAGTGACATGAGGATGAGGAGGGGTACATGAAACCAAACTGAATGGGTAAGGTAGTTACAGTATTAGAGGTCAGGTAGAAGGTGAGCGCTGCTGTTGTAGGGGCTTGTTCCTGCCATAGTTAATGTTCGTTTAGCAGCCATCCCCTTCTCGTTTGAACTTAGCTTTCATCAAGTGCAGGAACAGATGAGTATGGATCTGTTATCTCATAGCATCTTCCCTTACACCGGTGTATTGTTTTGTCCTCAATAGTTGCAGTTTCTCTTGTTGCTTGTGAGGCTGTGGTCTAAAATGGTCCTGAAATGGTCCATGGTCTAAAATACCCTGAAACATCCTAAAATAACCTGGTTCAGAAAACTTCCATAAATGATCTGTTTCCTAATCTGCACTTTGCTGTTCTTGAATTTAGCATCGTATATCCCATGCGTTCTCCCTTACGAGTGTGTGCACACTTGGAGTGCTCCTAGGTCTTCTAAATCATTATTTAATCCAGCAACCAACTTTTATTCCTCTTCATCGGACCTACTTCCAGTGTATTAGCATCGTTATGGTAGTGGGAGCTCAGAAATGTGTTTCTGAGGGAGCCGCACCAGACCTGTATAAGGATTTGTCACTTCCCCGCTCAGTGAAGTGTTTCTGCAGGTGGATCAAACCACACATTCTACAAACGCCTAGTTGATTGAAATCAGACAGACCACCCAGAGAGTTCAAGAAATGTGTGTGTTTTATTGGGATGAAGGCAAAGTCTCAGAGATCTACTGATTCTTTTTTTTTTTTTTTTTTGATCCTGTATCTTTGTTCTAATTTTTTGTCAGTTTTTCCTGTTCAGTTTCAGTTCATGGTTTCATCCAGTGATACAAGGGCAGTTGTTCCACTGTTCCTCTCCCTCCTCTCTGTTACTTGGCTGGATTTCTTCAGACTTCAACCTTAATTAAATCTCCTCTTGGTCAGTATCTGCTATATGCAGTTGCAGGTGGTACGATGAGGCATGTGAGACCAGTGGTGTGTCAGGCAGGGTGGGAACTCTGTCTAGCCAGATCTAGCCCAGCTGAAGTCTTCTGTCTTCTTCAGCCTGTCCTGGCACCCCTTCTCTGTTTCAGCCAGAAGATGCAATTTTCTCAAGCTTTCCCTGATAGTGTGATCGTTCTTTAGCTCATTTCTTTCTAAAATGGGCCAGCTTATTCTAAGCAGTTTGAAGTGTGATTCCATGGCAATTTCAGGTGATCTCAATCCCAACTTCTTTCTCGCCCCCTCCTCCCATTCCCAGGCCCGTGTTCCCATCTCTTTTCCTGTGCTGGCATTGCCAACGAGGCTGCTTTTGGCTCTACAGAGGAGGACACAGTAAACAACTAAGAAAGTCGGTTTTGGGATTGAGTACCTCCATCGGGAAGAGCAGTGATGAGCAGAGGTAATGCTGTCCTTTCTGTTTGTGCTGATTCTTCCAGGAACTTCAGAAAATGTGCTGCTTGCTTTTTTTTTTGTTTGTTTCAGCCTCATGATTTGTACTAATTACCCCTCCTCATACCAACTCCATTGTTTGTTCCTGTAAGAAATTATCCTGTCACTTACCTATTGAGCTAGCAATATACTGAACTAGCTGTAATTATCAAATTAATAAAAATACATATGATGCTTAAAACAATACTACAATAGCCTTTGAGTGTTCCACAAACCCGTGACGATACAAATGTCATGGAGTCTCATTGCAGACATGACACAGTGAGCCTTCTGTTCGTTAGCCTTTGTTTGTTGTCTTATAACCAGCTCTAACAAGATGGATTTAGAAGAGTGAGTTCAGTATTTTGGTTTCTAAGCCGTGAATGATTAACCCCCCTGGTTTAATGTGGATGGTTTTTTAAACTGCTATAGTTATAAAATCCTTGGTATATAAATATAAGGCAGGTCTTCGGGGGATGTATCCATTGACCATAAGACATTTGGGGTCCCCAGCCAAGAGTTTGCTCTCTCTGTTATTTCCAGCATGACTTGAGATGCAGAAGAGAACAGCCTGGAGCTGGAGAGCCAGGCTGGGAGGAAGGAAGCTGACATCAACTAAGATTAAATTTGCTTGGGTTTGCCTGGTATGTTTTATGTCAATTCTTGAGGTTTTTTTGTTTGGCTAGTTGCTTAGAGGTTTTTGTTTGTTTGTTTAATTAGAATATAGTAGGTATGTCTGGAGTATTTGTTCTTATACCAAAACTAATAAGGTCAACGTCCTGGCATTTCATGTATGGAGTTAGTGTCAAATCTGAAGTCCCTGAAAGAATTTTGTGGTGTTTTCATTGTTAGCCAAAATTGTAAGTAAGCCAAAAGGCCTTAATAACATGAGCTATTTATTAATTCTGATGGAAATTTTTTTTATTGCATTTTAACAGCTTTTTTTTTTTTTCTTTTCTTCAGGAAAGCAACCCGGTATTTAGTAAAGAAAGTCTTTGCTCCTGCTTCCTTTTCAACCATCTCAGCACCTTAAAGAGGGCAACATACTTTAAAAGGATGTACTGTATCTTTGCCGGTCTCCGCTAAAGTGAGCGGTGGATATATGAGTGAGACTCATTTTATTGTTAATTTATTTTATTCATGCTCAATATCAGACTCCATTTTCATTGACTGAATAACTATGGAGTCATTACGAAGGCAATAAGAACTGAGTTACTAGCCTTGGAAGTGATTACTGCTAGATTTTTGCCTCTTAAGCCTCCAAACAGGATGTTGCATTATTATCTGCAATTCTCTTCCCTGATGTACTGTCTGAGCATTGGCCAAACTATCAGTGTACCACTATGATTCATGCAGAACACTTAATCTCAGTGGAACCAAAGTAAGTATACAGGAGACCGTAAATGACACTTTTCATTGCTCTGCTCCTTTTTTTTTTTTTTTATGTGGAGCTCTCTCTCTTGATGAAATACTATTTAGTGCAATCTAGTAGCCTGATTGCTAGATGCTAGTAAATCATCAGGTCATGCCTTGAATCCTTACCCACCTCTCTTTCCTGTGCAGGTGTTACAGGTTCGCCTGTGAGAGACTTCTGGACACTGGCATTCTTTTAAATGGGATTGGTTTCTAAGTCATGTATGGCTCTCTCTCAGGAGCATGGGTGCCATATGTGATAAACACAGCTACAAAACGAGCATCCCAGATATTCGTCCTTGAAGCTGAATTTTCAGAGCTGAAGGAATAGTTTGAAGCTGAAGTGTGGTCTTCCAGGCTGGTTTTGAGAATTACAGAACCTAAACCATGGCTTATGCGTGTCACTTCTTGCCTTGAAAAATAAAAACCCGCTTTTGAAAGTATCTGAATATGCAGAAATGAGGTGAAGGAATATGGTAGGTGCAAGTCAGCAGGGGCTTGCTGTTATTTACCATGATCATTATTCTGAGTTTGTGCAAGGCACAGCAGCCATTTGAACAAGACACACACAAGCCAGCTGGTAGCATTGTGTATGCTGGGCTAGTCAGCAGCAACTCTCTCTCTTTTTTTTACTTAGGTAATGTTCTTACGTTTTGTTTTTCAATGTTTATGTTGGATTAGTGCTCAGAGGCCCCAGAATTGAAGAAACCAACTGCTCCTCAAACATCTGTGAAGGAATTGTCGCAACTCTGAATGCTCCTTCCTGCTCCACTGCCACAAAGTGTGCCACAGTACAACAAGGAATTAATTGAATGGTTTGTGAAGGAAGTGTGTGAGGAAACCTGGCTTTTCAACCTCACAAGGTAGTTGCTGGGAGGAAGGGAGAGAGAGGGAGAGAGGAGAGGAAAGGAAAAGAAAAAGAAAAAGAAAAAGAAAAAGAAAAAGAAAAAGAAAAAGAAAAAGAAAAAGAAAAAGAGAGGAGGGCTGGGATTTCTGAGACTGCGTCAGTACTTTAAGGAGATGTTGAGTACAGCATCTCACATATATCTTGCTCATCCTCTGGCACTCCGAAGAACGCAGTAGCTGCCACTGCATTTCTGAAGTGGCTGATGCTGCAGGTTAAGCAGTATGTACTTACTGGATCCATAACTTCAGATGAAGAAGTACTTGGACAGACCTGTGCAGGGCTGCTCAGTTCTGCCCAGGATGAGGTTGTTTGTTTTTTTTTTTAATATATCAGAGCACAGCTCTGCATAGGACACCTGTGAAGTCGGACACGTTCAGAGTAAGACAGTGTATAGTTTTTCTGGAATGCAGTTTGATCACCCTAAATCCAATTAAGTCCTCATTTAGGCATATACACCCTCTTCTGTCCTTGCTCTGAGACATGCCCGGCTGGTGATCCTATGAGGCCTCTTGGTCCAACTGTGTGTGGGGACTGGTCTAACAGCTCAAAGGGTACTGCCTTTTGCACCAAGGAGATAATGCAGTTTGCAACTTCTGACTTTCCAGAATGGCACGTTGCTTTGTGTGACCGAGGCAGAAGATACAGACTTGCATAGCGTGTGTCCTAATTTTCAGCAGGTAAAAAATTTTCATGGAAACTTGGAAACTGATCTGAATATGAAATGATAACCCAAAAGTAAAATGTTCTATATTATAATCAGACTCCTAAATCTTCCAAGCTTCCACACTGATCCTACAGCATTACACTAAGCTTTCATTTAAAATCCTTCTGGAGAACTCAGTACAACTTCCTCTGTCATTGTAAAGAAAATATATTACATGATCTACCTTGTTCTTGCCACTACCATAAATGGACGATGCAATCTGTAAGACCTTCATTTATTGCCATTTTCTTTTTGGCTGAAATGTTTAAAGAGGATGAAACTGGAGCAGCCAAAGGCCTGTAAACCATTTACTCCCTAATTTTAAAGGCTCAAGAAGAATTTAAATGATGCCTAGATTTTGTGATGGCTGTGTGTGTGTTTGAGAAAATTTTATCCATGTGGGTTCTCATTCAAGCTGCCTCATCCCCCTCTGTTGCCATTACTTTGTAAAACCTATCTTCACGGTGCCACCCTTGTCTTACCTTAAAGCTGCTGAACAGCAATTACAGCAAACGTCTTTGCCAGGGGAATGTATGCATCAGCTGAAAGAGTGTCCACCTGGGATCTCTAGGTTTTGAAGGATTTTGAAGCATGATAAAGCTCACCATGAGATCCTATGGAAGGGGAATGTGATTTTCTAAACAAAATCTATGTAAGCGGTTGACTGTTTCCCTTGATGCTTTTGCACCCATGACACAGAGGATAAGGACACTCTCTGTTAAGTGCTCATTGTGCCACCGGGTTTCTTGATTGGTAAATTAACTGATTTTGGACTTGCTTTTTATACCTTACTCTAGGATGGGATGTTGTTTGGGATACTTTGCCTCACTGTTTTGTTTCACCCTTCACAAAATCATGAGTGTCATGAATGTCTTGTTGCCTTTGGGTATTTTATGGTTCTGGACTTGCTCTTCATCTTGTTTGCTACCTTATCTTTAGGTCAGTTTGTTTCCTGCTCTTCAGTTGTATACCGTTCTTTTTAATACGTGTTCTACTGCTTCTCCTGATACTTTCATACACTCACTTCCAGTCACACTCCATGAGTACCAATCTTAATATTTGTTACAAATCACTGCAAGAGAATCAAGTAATCAAGTAGCTCCTCTTTTTTCACTGAACACTGTGTTCTCAAGCGCAAGCCTCATTTTTCATTTCCATCTATACAGTAGTGTATCAAATACATTTCGAAGCCTGTCACAGTAAGAAGACCCCATTTACTCTCTGACTTTAGGATTCTGCCCTATTCCAATGGGTCATTAGTGGAGCAAAGCCAAAAAGAGATTCAATTATTTGCTCGAGTCTGAAAGGCCAGTGTTTCAAAACCACAGAGTATGCTATTAACAAGGATGAATCCTTTGGCAGTGTATCCTTTCTACTGCAAAATACTTGCCGTGTGGAACCTAAGACCCTGATTACAAATTCATGGATGATTTTAATCCATCCTGGCAGCTTTCATAAGCATTGCAGTCATCTGGAAGCAAAAAAGATCATTGGTTTGTGCAAAGTAATACAGCTATGCTCATATTTGGTCTAGCTCTCTAGTGGGAAAGGAATACTTAAACTTTTTTAAAAAATTAATCAAGAGACATTTCTACTATATTACATCTCACCAATCTATTTAGAAGTCATGTTCAATAAGAGATAATAACTCAATGCAGAGCATCAACAAAAGAAAAAAAGATGTCAAAAATGTGCACGGTTCTTGATGTGTTGGAGGAGTTGTAAAATCATGTTGTAAAACTTAACTCCCAGTCATCAGAAAGTAACAGTCTAATAGCAAAATCTGACTATAAAGAAATCCTTTCATTTCTTATAATATTTTAAACACTTCCCCCAAAATGTGAGTTTCCCTTTGAGCCCTCTTAACTTAGAGGTGCTGTTTGTTGCAGAGACAGAGCTGTCAGAAAGGAAATAGGACCTGAGAGTGAGCAGTTTTTATTTCCCTGGGGCATTATGGTGCAAAATGATAGCAACAGTCAACAAGTAACATTTATTGTGGTAGATGCTTGAAGAATTACCCAATAGGTGATTTCTAGTACAATTTTCATAATACTATTTTTCCCAGTAAGCAACTGTTGTGGAAACAAAAGAGATACTGTATGATCACAAGTCAGAGAGGAAGCATGCATGGGAGAGCGCGCATTGAAATTAGTAGTGTTCCAGAGCTGCTGTGTGAAATACTATCAACCCTGATGTAAGGCCAAAACTAAAGATTCAAACTTTCAAAATTCCATCTCTTATTTCCCTAGGGCCAAACACAGCTGAGCTTTCAGTAGGTCTCCTAAATGCTATGAAACCTCTTCCTTCTCCAAGTAGAACAGGTTTGTTCCACTTGCTCGGATTTGCAAAAGGAACTCGGGGAAAGAAAGCTTATAATTAATCTGTCTTCCCAGTCTGCCATGAAGAAATTACAGTTTTACATCTTGCTTTGCCACTGATAAATGATATATATCTGATAATAATAATCAGAAATAGGTATCCTTCCTCTCTGCTCAGTCATGAGTAATTTGCATTGAGAGGTACCAAAGAACAGCATAGTGAAATCACCCCCAGGCAGCTAAACAGTCTGAAGAAATTGTCTGTGCATAAACACACTATATGTAATTTTTTTAAAAAAGCCAACCAAACAAAGAAAACCAAACTCAAGAGATCAATGCCTGAAACAGAGCAACAAGTTGAGGAATATTTAGGTTGGTTTATATTTATTTATTTATTTGCAGATGGTTACCAACATTTCATCAGTATAGCTGTTTAAGCAACTTAAAAGCTGTAACAAACAGCGCAATTTATGTAGCAGCTTGCCTTCTTTAGCCCACACTTAGCTTGTGTTACTCAGAACAACTCCATTACAATTCATCACACAGCTAAGTAGCTAAAAAAGGAAATAGGTGCAAGTGCAAAACCAGGGAAGCAGCATGGTTGTCCAAAACTTGGGATCTATCATGGACGCCTGCTTTGAGTGATAGTTCTGTGCACAAAAGATCATTTTCAGAAGACTTTGTCCTCTCCTGACTACAGAGTGTACCTTGGTTATTAAAGCTTGGAGAGGCTACAGATGCAGACACTACATTAGCTACTAAATAGGCATAATTTATCTCACCACTCCATTTTTGAGAGCATATTTAGCAGACAAACTAAACTAGTCTGCTTTTTTTTTTTTTTTTTCCCACATTAGCCTTTTATTTTCATGCAACACACAAGCTGGCTAAGATGTGGTGATGACAGACATATAAAGATGGCTAGTCAAACGGATGCCTATGATACATATGGTTAAAAAATAGTCTAAGGAAAATAAATACAAATGAGGGGTTTCAGCTGAATTCCCCAAAAAGAGTCTCACACCTAAGAATATCGCATCTAGAGTTGTCGTACAGGATATTCAATTTTTGTATGCCTCCCACTGAAATGGTTTAATTCAGCTGGGCTCTTCTCTCGGATACCTAATTCACTGTCAAATTCAAGAAGAAAGATTATGTCTTCATAGGCAGCTGGACAGAACTACTTGGGATACCAAAAGGGAGATAGAAGAAAACATCTATTATGTCACCATAAAAGGGATGGGCAATATAATGAGCAAACAGCAGTTTAAAAATGGAAACAGGATTTCTTGCTTTGTAAATATTTACAGTGAGGCTGACTTTCCTGCTCCTGTTCGAACAAGTGGCAAAGAACAGTGTAGTGACTTGTTAAGGAGAATGTCGCGGTAGATGGCCCAGAGAAGAGGGTATCACCACCATCCCTTCACTGTCTGACTTGGCATCACAGCCTGTCTGGTGTCAGGAACCCATCTGTGATTATGTGTCCGAGCCCAA